ACACACACAGCTCATCTTTAGACACAACATCAAGTCGCTTGCGCGGTTCTTTATTTAATTGTGATTTGATCTCTGGAAAATCAAATTTGATACGTCATCAGCTAGATTAATTTGCTATTGAATTTCTCATATGCAGACTGAAGTCATTCTGTGAAGACGGTGAACGGGAAAGATTAAATGAACAGATAATTATATTAGAAACTAAGGTAAACATTTTATATTTCTGACAGCTGAGTATTCTTTGATCCTCCCTAAATTTATTAGTTAGAAACAGCACATACTGTGAACATAAAACTTTATTTTTAATCGGCTAAAACAGTGTTCATACAGTTAATATTGTTAGCACCATATGCAAACGATGACTTGGTTAGTGTTACAATTTTTCCTGAAAAAAAAAGGGGCTGTGTTTTGTTCATTTCCCATATTTTCTGAGTGTTACTATTTTGGCTGTCCGCAAATCAAGTGAAGGATAGTTACTCCAAGAACTGATACCTTGTAAAGATAAATAAAAAACCATATCTTACACTTCCATGGTTCTGTAAGTAAATCGTCAAAATAGTTATTAGATTTTTTAATTGACGTCCAGTTATCTTTACTAGTGCTCATCTGAAGTTCATTTTTGTAAATGTTGAGAATTTTTCATGCGTTGCTGCAGTTGCTAGAAGCTCTTGATTGGAAACTCATGCATGAATCAGATCCCACTAACATTCAGGTTCTTACCCTTTTGTGCGAACTTAAATCTGCTGAAGATGTGATTTGTGAAATTTAGATAACGTTTTGGTTTGATGTTACAGAGAGAAAGACATGATCAGAGTGATAATGATTTTCTGATATCCAATCAGGTAATAGAAAATTAAACTTGGTGCTTTCATACTTCATATCACTTATATAATTTTGCATTGCATTCTGCATACTGAGGGAATACAATGAAAATAATGTTTGATTGTGGGTACAAAACTTATTTTTCAAGCCTAAGAATAATGCTAGAGCTAATGCATACAACTATAATATTTAGCCATGTTGTAGGGTTAAATTCAATAACTGTGTACTACTGCTAGTCCTACTCCCACTATTGAGTTCAAACCTTGGGCAAATTAGAAATGCGTCAATTATATGGAAGTTGAAGTTTAGCACATATCATGACATATATAAGTTTCTTCTTTTTTTTTTTT